TATATATATATATATATATATAGATATATAGATATTTATATCTATAAAATTATTAAATTTTACTTAAATATCAATAAATACAAATAATTAACCATTAGCGAAAGCAAAAATATAAAATCTAATATATTAAACTACAATGTGAGAAAGACTTATAATGTCTAAATTCTAAAGTTCGTAACATATTCTCTAAAACTTGTAAGAATTTACAAATGCTTATAACTTTATACAATATCTTTGCAGATAGCTTCTTGCTAGCCGTAAGATTTACGAGAAATCATTGGATATTTACGAATTATCGTACATGGTACATATACACATAAAATTAGAAACATCAATCATAAGTTCTTATAAATCTTATGAGATCAAATTACGAGCCTTACGATTCTGCTTAGAATTGATCCATTAGTTTCAAAGAGTGCTGATAATACACGCAATTATTAATTTCAGTAAATTGTAGAATACCTGCTTACTCATATTATTAGATAATAAGGAAAACAATATAATTTTTTCCTTTGAGAAGATTTTGCTTTATTATATCGGACAACGTCTACATTTAATTACAAAAATTATTATTAATTATACATTTATTATATAAGTAATCACAATCATCATATATTTAATACGACTATCAATTTTTAATTCAATTTTCCAAAAAATATTATTTCTCGTTATCTACCCGAGAAAAAATGTTTTATACATAATTATATAAAATATAATTATATATATAGTATTTTTTAATCAATTCAAATTTCTTCCCAAACAAAATGCAAACTAGAAAATAATAAATTTAAAAATAATAAATTTTTAATTTTGCAAACTAGAAAATAATAAAAATAATGTATAAAAATATATATATGTAGTATAAAACGTGATATAGCATAATTTGTGTAAATATCTTTATATGACGCGTTTTATTCGAGTAATAGTAAAAAGTCTTTACCATTAATGTTTTTCATATTTACCGACGATTAATATTTATCGACATATCTTCGACAGATAACCATATATGTATCTTCCAGTTACCATCTATTACTTTGATTCGATAGATTCTACTTTTCACCATATTGGCGAGGGTATTTCATCGTTGATCATACATCTGCGTTCAGTTTGATCACACGCTTTAAACTTTTATGCCCATTTCCACCAATATAGATTAACTTTAATCTCAGTTCAACTTACTCTTCATCCTTTTCTAGTTCTAAAAATTAAAAAAAGATGAAGAGTAAGTTGAACCGAAATTAAAGTTAATCTACATTGGTGGAAACAAGCATTAGTGAATTCGATTACTGAATCAGGACATATATTAAAAGCTGCTTTATATATTAGGTGTTGGAATTAATTCGTAGCGTTTTACAAGTGATGGGAAGTACTTTCATTAATGTATTTTTTAATGCTCATGTGAAATAAATAACATTCTTTCATTAAAAACGCTACGAATTAATTCCAACACCTAATAAAATATCTTAATATACAGTAATTATACAATATAATCAACTTCGACAATTAATTGATACATATATATTTTGTTAAATAATGTAATAATATCATTAGTAGATAGTCAATCATTTAAAATATTTATATACTTTTACATTTGAATTTTGCCAATTTCATGCATACAGGATGGTCCACTTAAATCGATTCTGAAATATCAAATATCTCACTTATTTTTGATGATGTAAAAAATGTTTAAACCAAAGTGGAACGATTTCGAGAGGGATGTATTTTAGTCAATTTGCTTTTATTCTAGGTGGAGACATCAAAAAAATATGGAGATCACCTCCACTTTTTTAAATAGAATTGTACAATTTTTTTACACAATATGATTCCTTTTACTATTCTGCATATAAAAAAGGATTAGACTAATTCTATAATGTGCTTTTTGTTTTCTGTTTCTTGCTGTTTGTTTCTTGTCTTATTGATCAAAAAGGCAAGAGACAGAGACAAACAGCAAGAAACAAAGAATACATTATAGAATTAGCCTTTAGATAGGTAGAGGTATCAAAAAACCAATAATTTTGAGATATTTTATACTTTATTCCGATACATATTGACATAAATAAAAATATTAAATAATTCATAAACTATTAATTTTTTTATAATCGTAATTTTCATTAATACTTTAATGAAAAGAATAAAAGATGAATAAATTGGTGTAAAGAAAACAAATTGCTTTAAACAAATTTTATGCAAAATCGATAATTTTTTAAATAAGCATTTATGTGTTTCCTTTCCATCAACTGATTCATTTCATTATTCTTTTCATTAAAGTATTAAGGGTCTATAGGTCATGGAATCTTAAGTCGTAAGAAACCAACCAATCACAATCGAATATAAGAAGAATACTCGATTAGAATTGGTCAGTTTTCTACGACTTAAGACTCCACGACCGTCTACGACTTCTATGTAGAGGACCCTTTGACAATTATTAAAAAATTAATAGTTTACGAATTATTTAATATTTTATGTCAATATGTGCCGGAATAAAGTATAAAATATCTCGTAAACTATTGGTTTTCTTGATATCTCTATCTTAATTATTTTTATATGCAGATTAATTAAAGGAATCATAGTATATAAAAAAATTATACAATTCCATTTTAAAAAGTGGAGGTGACCTTCATATCTTTTGGCGCCTCCACTTAGAATAAAAGCAAATTGACCAAAATATGTCCCCCTTGAAACCGTTCATTCATTTGAAACATTTTTTTATATCAAAAATAAGTGAGATATTTTTGTTCGATTTAATGGATCATCCTGTATAACACCTTTTAGTATGCACTGATCTAGTGTGCAGCAAGTAACCGAATTCACTATTAATTCTATCTTTATTACATATGGAAGAAAAAAATGATAAAATGAAGCCGACAGCGCGTGAGCAGCCAAAAGTCTTTTCATGCTGACGCTCATTTTCAGCGTCAAAATAGATGTAATCAAAATTGATGCTTGATATTCGTCAATTTCTATTACATGACTTATTTTGACGCCGAAAAAGAACATCGAGCATCAGCATGAAAAGGTACCTAAATGAAAGCAGCCATATAATAAATTTTTAGCGCGCCAACACTGTACAATTCATCAGAGACATGGATGACAATCATCAACAACGCAGCCAATTTTACAGATTATATACATGTACCTGGTAATACTCGAGTTTTCATCGTGCTGTCGATGTACCTGGTCGAGAAAGTGATGAGAATAAGCGTAGAGAACAATCCAGATTCCCAACCCACCAAAAACTGCTTCTCCGAGATCCTCGCCATTAGCTCGGTATTATTAGCACACAACAGCAATCGCAATCAATGTTTTATACATCACGACGATCGAACGACGTTTTACAAAACACTCGCGATCACTATTTGCGTCTACGAGTCCCCTTTTTTCGGACAATAATTACCACGAGAAATACGAAATGTCCTCCCGCCTTCCGACTTCGATGTATCCCGCAACAAACAACTGAATAACAAGTTCGAGAATCGCAATATCGCAGTTCAAAATTTCGATAATCGAAGGAATTCAACATGGCCGAAGCAGCGAACCAATCAGCGTCCAGCAACTCCGAGCTGCACGCCTAGCATCACTTCAGGTGTGTTCGGGGAGACGCTATTAGCGCTATTAGCGCTATTGTGTCATTCTATCCTTGTTTTACGTCTAATAAACAACGAAGATAGAATAATAGAATAGCACTAATAGTCTCCTCGAACACACCATTCACTTGCCGCGGCCACAAATATGCATTTCTCTCAAGGTGCAGAAGGCGCAGATTATTGAAATAACGGACGAAATAAATAACATATTGCTCTGAATTCATTACTAAAGCAGATTAATATATTTTTCTAATCAGTGTCCTATCGGAAAAGGGAAAAATGTATGTTTTCCGTTTTTCAAGTTTCTCGGTTTACATCTCTTTTCTCGCTGTCTCTCTCTTTCTCCTTCTACTCACCGATCTACTGCGCGCGTTCGATCGGCGAGAGTTCAGTCCTCTTCGTACTTTTCCCCTTCTCCAATTGTTCCAGTGCAAAGTCTCGATCGCCAAAATCTTGCTGCTCTGTAATGTTCTGAGAAAACACGTCACGATAACGCTGAGTGTCACAACAAGGACGGAACGGACGAAAGCGACGAGGAAATACCGAGGTGGTTCCGTTGATCGTTGTTTTTACGCGACTCGCGAGCGAAACGGCACCGACAGAATTAGCTGACTAACGTCATCAAACTTCACGCGATGAGATTTCTTTTTGACGATCGTACGCCAACTTCAGATTCTGAACGCTCAATCGCAGCTATCTTCTTGTCCTTCTTGTCTTTGAACAATTTATTCTACATAATACGAGATTAAAATCTTTGCAATTGCCTATCTATGCTTTACGCGTATGATACATTGACTTCTGTCTACAGCTTTCTATGATTTTACATTAAATTTTGTGCATCTAAAATATTTATCTCTTTGATTCAATTTTTAGATAAAAACACGTTTCATATGTTCAATATTTCTTGCATTTTACCATTTTTTACCTTTTACCTTTTACCTTTTCTCTTATTCTGTTTCTTCGTTTTCCGTCAAGATAAAAGTGAATTTCGAAAGAAACAAGAAACATATGATGTAACAAGAAATATGATTGTTATTAAAACAGTCGCAAAAAGAGAATATGACAAGAGATAAAAAGCAATAAGCAAAGAGCACTGTAGATTAGGCTTTAGTATCTATTATTGAACTCATATACTTAATATTTAATGTAAATAATATAGCAGATGTCTATATAAAAATATATAAGAAAATAAAATAGAAAATTTTTTCAATACAGGAATCCAATAACAATATAAAACGATGGCATTTCGTGAATTAGTAGAAGGAGATTGTGGAGGTTCCAGCTCTCTGATACATTTGGCATCACATTATGTGCGAGATCATGGCTTCAAGGAAGAAGGAATTCATCGACCGTTTAGTTCGTCAGAAACGTTCCAAACACCGGACGCAGATCAATTGGTCCAACAATTTTTAGAGGAACCTGCCTGCCCACAGACATTTCGAATGGATAATCTATTACAAGAAATGAGGGAAATAGATCAGAGTATTCATCCTCCCAAAACTGGACCTGAGATCATAAGGGAATTAAAGAATGACTTGGACAAAGCTTGGGGACCTTATCTTACATCTCTTACATCAGACGTAATTTTATTAAATTTATCTCTGTACAATTATACTTATTTCTAATATTGTAAAATATTTCATTATTGCAAATTAATTATCCTACAATTCTTGGAGAAATCTGCTTGCCTGCAGATGTTTTGAATGAATAATCTATTACAGAAAATAAGGGATCAGATTCATTCAGGTCTTCATTCAGAAACTGGACCTGAGAACATAACGGAATTACAGAATGATTTAAATGCAGCTTGGGGAAATCCTTATCTTACATCTCTTACATCAGACGTAATTTTATTAAATTTATCTCTATACAATTATACTTATTTCTAATATTGTAAAATATTTCATTATTGCAAATTAATTATCCTACAATTCTTGGAGAAATCTGCTTGCCTGCAGATGTTTTGAATGAATAATCTATTACAGGAAATAAGGGATCAGATTCATTCAGATCTTCATTCAGAAACTGGACCTGAAAGCATAACGGAATTACAGAATGATTTAAATGCAGCTTGGGGAAATCCTTATCTTACTAAATCTCTAGATGTAATTTTATTATTTAATTTATCTGTGTAGAATTGTACTTATTTTTAGATTTAATACAAGATAATTATTGCAAATGAATTCAATTAGGAACTTCATGCAGACGATATATGGAGTGCATCTATTTTGCCTGTTCAAGAGGAAGAAGGTACAAATTATGAGATAAATGAATTTGGATTAGATCCAAAATGGGCAGAAGATTTTCTGGAATATAAGACGGATGCTGTACAGAACATTACTAATAAAAATGATATTGCTCAAATTAAAGAAGATGAAGAGCCAAAATTGGCATACTCAAGGTTTATGAAATTCATGGAACGAGAAGGTGATATTCCTATAGAAAGCAATCAAGCAGCAATCAACTTGGATGGTACAAGCGAGGAATGGATAGAACAATTTATAGAAAATGATGCAACTAATCTCAATGACAATACAGTTTTGAATAAAGTAGAAGAAGAATTAGAATTTGCAGGTACATGGATAGACGAATTTGTAAAGGAAAATCCTGTTGCAGGTAATATTTTAATTTCTTTTTTTGGAACTAAGCATGTGTGTCTTTAATTACAATGACTCTGATTAATATAAGAATAATTAACATTTTAGGAAATAATATGGAATCATTATGGAAACGATTTCAAGAAGAATGGGACAAGATCTCTGCAGATGGAAACTCCTATACGCACCCGTGGGTATCAGAATTCGACACATATTATGATCCATTTAATAAGGAATATGATTTCTCTGAGACAAATCCTATGAAAGATTTGCCAAATGCTTTGGCAGAAGGCAAGAAACGACTAGAGGCAGGTGATTTACCAAGTGCTGTACTATGTTTTGAAGCTGCCGTTCAACAGGATGAAAATAACATTGAAGCCTGGCTACTTCTTGGCAAAACACAAGCTGAAAATGAGCAGGATCCTTTGGCCATCTCTGCTTTAAATCGTTGTCTGTGTTTGGATCCATCGAACAGCGTTGCTCTCATGACATTAGCAGCTTCCTATGCAAACGAGTCTTATCAAAAGCAAGCCTGCCTAACACTAAAGGAATGGTTATTAAAGAATGAAAAATACAAACATCTTGCAAGTTCAGAATCTAATATTAAAAAAGATGAACATCCGAATTTCAATGTGTCTACTTTATTATACGAGTAAGTCAAAAGTCATTTTAATTTTAGAACATTTTTTTACATGTTATTTCATTGTAGCAAAATATATGATGAAGTCAAAGATCTATATATTCAAGCCGCAAGAATGAATCCTCGAGATGAAATTGATGCGGACGTACAGTGTGGATTAGGTATATTGTTCAATTTATCGAATGATTACAACAAAGCTGTGGATTGTTTTCAAACAGCGTTGCACGTGCGTCCCGATGTAAGTAAAATTTATTTCTGTTGTGATAAATGAAACTAATACGCATATTTGAATATTCCCGAAAGGATTCCAGATTGTGGAATAGATTGGGAGCTACTCTAGCTAATGGTCAACGATCAGAAGAAGCTGTAAATGCGTATCATCGTGCCTTAGAATTATCACCTGGATTTATTAGAGCACGTTACAATCTCGGCATATCTTGCGTTAATCTTGCAGCGTATCAGTAAGTATAGATAAATATAAATAATTCTCAAGTTACAAAAAAATAATGTATCAATGAAATTATTATATTAAAATTATATACTATGTTAAAGGGAGGCAGGTGAGCACCTTTTGACAGCATTGAACCAACAAGCTGCTGGAAGAGGTCCACAAGCTAATAGTGTACCTCCTAAAGCAATGTCGAATACAATATGGTCAACGTTAAGATTAGTTATATCATTGATGCGTAAATATGATTTAATGGAAGCCGTAGAAAGCAGGTAACATTTTACACAGAAAAAAATTCTTTGTTCAATTTTGCTTTGCATGTATTTAAATACAAGCGATTATTTATATTTTTCTTTTAATACGATTTTACACAATATTTTGTAGCTATATATTAGGTGTTGGAATTAATTCGTAGCGTTTTTAATGAAAGAATGTTATTTATTTCACATGAGCATTAAAAAATACATTAATGAAAGTACTTCCCATCACTTGTAAAACGCTACGAATTAATTCCAACACCTAATATATAGATATATATATAGATTGCGCCTATAAAAGCATTATAACAATTACTCACGTATTTAAAATATCCATAATATATTCTTCTAGAGATTTACCAAGACTAAACAAGGAATTTGGAATAATGTAAACGGACGCAAATACTATCAGGGTTTATACAATAGTTCATTTTTATATGGACTATTTAGAAATACATTCGGAATTACATAGGTAATCAACAAATAATAGAATGTCTTCGATATACTCTAGCATTTAATTAAATTCTAAGATATTCTAATTAAACAAAAAAATGTACATACAAATAGATGACATTTAAGATATTGTTGAGTTATTGCATTTTTATATGTACTGGCTCTCTAACTTTGATATTCTGTATATACATATATAAGAAATATAAAACTGGGACAAATAATTCATTTATTGTTAACGTTAAATACGATTTATGAATAACAAATGAATAATATTTCAGGGTAATCTATTATACTAACTGTAAGGACTTGTCAATATCTTACACTTCTAATATCTATTTTTGTTTTTATAAAAAGTAGATGTAAGTGTATATTTTAAATTGATTTCTATTGAAAATATTCCAATTACTCAAATTTAAATCTTGCTATTCTATTCCAATTTTGAAATCTAATTTTAAACTCTCTCTTGATTTTGATACTTATAAAATTGTTATTTAAAATTTTATGTACACTCATGGACTGAAAAGTTTTAACTTCTTTTTTAATAGATTAATTTCAAAAGGCAATCTATTCACCAACCGATTGATTCTTATGGATCTATAATATTAAGTGGTGAGTAGGTTGCATTCTGAAACCCATCAAAAAGAAAGTTGCAACCTTTTAGTATTATTCTATGAGTATATATACTGAAACTATATTTTATGAGTTATTATTACAACATTAATAAAAATATAGAATTTTATATTTCTTCTTTTATTAATAGTTCTAATAGTTATTATTGATTACTTTGTCAGGAATAGAAAATCATGGATAAGATATATAAGATAAAAATGCAACTGAGAGGTTATTATGTATTTATTTTTTATGATGAATTATAAATATTATTAATCATTCTAACATAATTAGATTTATAATAAAGAGAAATCATTGCTAAAGGCACATCAAAGTTACATATTTTGTAACACTCAAAAATTGATTACGTAAAACTACTCGTTAGTATCAACAGATTTGATAAAAACTATTTTAGTAAAATTCATTTCACTAAAGACATACCTTCTGTTCCAGAGCAGAACGAATTCGATTGATAATTAAACACTAAAAAATCTTGGTATGATCTATGTAGAGCATTCAAACATTGTATAATTATTTGTAAATACAATCATTAATTAATTATACTTAAATATTTTTATGGATGTAATGCACTCCAAATTTCTAATTTCGTATACATTCGTTATTTTAGATAAAGCTTTATGTAAGCTTAAGTATTATTACTTTTGCTCTGGGACAGACTTTACATTTTTAGTTATAATATAATATATCTATATAGAACGATTCAACAGTTAATTATAGATGAATTCTATTTATAATATCTCTTTTCGAATTTCATTTAATAATTGATGAAAGTTATTGATTGTTAAAAATGCGTGCATCGGCACAACTATTAACTAACGAACATCAGTTTACATGACTGCATTAATCAGGAACATATGTCTGAAATGTTTGTAGAAATGGTTAATCTGCGAGTATAAGTGCACACAAAGTAATTTTCTGCAATATTGTTAAAACGTGATATATCAGAATTTATATTCGTAATTCCTTAGTATTATCACTTCCTTGTCTAGAAATTAGCTAATAAATGATATTTAATGGAACCTTATATTCACAACTTTAGAGTTGTCAAAAGTTGTTGTCCAGTTTCCATTATCAACGATTTTACGTGATCCGCATGCATAATTTGATTGCACATTTCGGTGCATCTTTGAAATGCTGCCATGTCATCTCTTGGCAATATGCGATGTAGACTTTTCATAGGCAATGCATGCGGCAAATAATTTAGGATTTCTATAAATTTAGAAAAAATCGTTGTGTTATATATTGTCTATTGCATATTCTGTTTAAAGTATTGTTCATATTATGTTCGACTTACCTTTCATAATTTGTGTGTACAAGAGATGTAACTCCTGTTCCATCGTTGAAGTGGCAATTTTGTCCCGCGTTAATTCAATAAGAAACTTCCACTCAGTATCCTTCGTATATTTATCCTGAAACATGGCAAAAAGATTTAAATTATCTTATAGCAAAACGTTTACATAAAAATTCGATATCTCATGTTACTATGTTAAAAATACCTTCGCATATTGTACTACAGTTTGTGGACAGCTGTCCATCAGAATTATCGTTACTTCTTCCGTATTCTGAATGCATAATGTCTTGAGAGATAAATTTCCGTCGATATTTTGCGTTTCGAGAAACTGCTTGACTTCGTGCAAACATTCAATCGGCAGAAATTCGCATGACAATACGGATTGCAACTTAAACAATTCCTTAGGTATAGTTTTTTCGTTTTCGGATGTGTTGCTAAAATTCGTTATATCCTTAAAATCGTTCATGCTTAAAATTTTTTGATAATCTTTGGCATACGGTGGCATTTTGTTCAAATAACTCGGTCGATATTTCGCGAACATAAAGTATTCTTTATCATTTTCTTCCTGATCCTCTTTGGGATCCGTTTTATACACTCTTGTTTGAGTTAATTTCCCTAAATATGATCGCACTAATAGCTTGAATGCCTCAATAAGAGCAAAGTCTGATCGTATCTGATTTTTATTTACAGTTGGCCATTCCATCATGAATTTCGAACTGAAATAATTATGTAAATACTTCTCGAGAAAAACTTGCAAAGTGGTGGCTGCGTTGTGTCCATCTCTTCCAACTCGTGATGGCAAATACTCCAGGAACACCTGTATGATTTGATGTAATGACAACGTACCTTCTTCTTCTATTATCTGTATCAGAATATCGGCGAAAGTAGTGTTCTTTATGAGCATCAAAGTACCAGCAAAATCCGAGAAAGTAGCGATCATAGGACTCCTCTTTTTTATTACAGTTACATCGAACAGCAGTTCCCAGCGTTCCAAAACAATCTGCTTGATACATCGCACGGAAACTGGTTCCAACGCCTTCTCCGCTTGTTCTTGTTTGTCTGCTTGAATATATAAAAGCGTCAAGGCGAGTTGAACGATATCGCTGGTTTCATGTGTTAGCAGAAGATTTATCAATTTCTCGGTAGCGTACTCCCTTAACACAGAACTGCCGAAGATCAATTTCAACAAATCCTCTGTCTCCAACTTACAGATGATTTCTATTATATTTTGTCCTTGGAAAAGCGCGTCCGCCTCGGATCCGCTTTTCATTGTGAGAAGCGCATCCGTCAAGAACGTCAAAAGTCCTGCTGCGTCCTGACAGCATTTTCTGGATAATACTTCTGAAGGCTTTAACCCAGACATTTTGTAGTAAGAAATACATAAATCCCAATCCGATTCATTCTCCGATCGTATGTAGTAATCCGCGAGCAACGCGCACGATTGATTGTAGAGATTTTTTAACTTGAGATCGTTCTTGCGTGTCATATCGTCGAATTCCTCGTTATTCATATCATAGAAAACATCCTTTGCTAAGCGTATCAAGGCGTGTGCTTCTCCCAACAAATGTCGATAAGTGCTTGGACTAGAGGATTTATGATTCCTTGCTGCATTCAATATATCGAAATATACGTTCTCGAATTTAGGTAAATTCAAAGAGTACATTGTCCATGAATTGTCGGCTTTAGCCAACAGAATTATATAATTCCTTGTATGCAACAATTTCTGTATTCCTAAGAACGGTCTTAAACCAATCAAACTTATCGGTTCGATCATACTGGGACAAGTCACTCTCGTACCATCTGTATTATTTGACAATTTCACGATATGATGAGAAAGACGTAATGTGTAGGACTCGAGACCAGCCTCGGTCAATGCATGAAGTACTGTGTGCTCCAGCGCCACATGATGAACAGGTGCGGTGAATGGATAAGTGGTCAGGCACGTCGCATCCACAGAACTACTGCTTGCCGCGGCAAAGTGATACAAATATCCTTCTTGCGTAGTACAAATAAAGCAACTTATACCTTGCAAGTATCTATACTTGTCAGATCGCAACATAGACTTCTTAACACCAGTGGTGTTACATTCCTTCTTCATATACAATGGCTTCAACACCATGCATTTGAAGATTTCTAAAATTCCGTTTACCTTGGCATTATTATTTCCAGCATTGATTTTTAGACATAATAAATTTTTTATCATATAATTTTCAGACCAGCCTACATCAGGTGAAGTTGTTTTAATAAAAATCCTTATGTCCGCTGGATTTAATATAAAAGGACTGAAAGCATGACCTGGACCAACTCTTTCTAAACTTATCAACGGCAGATTCACCGTCAATGGTTGTGAAGAGGGATCAATAATTCCTTGCGTAATTAGCCTTTGCATCTCATCTTTTTCATTGTATATTAGATGTTCCCAGTCTATGTAATTCTTATTATTACTTGCCTTTTTATTGAAATCACCTGTTTCTGACTTATACCATGTACTTCCTGTGCCCTTGTATTTTTTATCCTTAGATTTTATATTGGATATTACCGTCTCATTATTTTCAGATGTCACGTATTGACAATCTTGATCTACAGTTTTGTGCTTTATATTTGTTCCCTGCAGTGATGCATCGTCATTTCCAAGACTACTGCTATTTTCTACAAGAGATGAATCTGTGGATATAGACGTTTTGTCGACGGAAGAAGAAGTGGAAGTTAAAGAGCTAAGTTGGTCAATATCTTCGTACATTGAGTTTGTAAGACGAAAAACGGATAAAGTTGTATTATCCATGATTGCTATAAAATCCTCTATGATTTCCATGCGCGTAGGTATAAACGTGAATCCTAATGACCATGGTCTAGGCTCAAAATCTATAAACTTTATCTTTGATACTTGTTGCGTCTCAATCTTGAACTCGTGCAGAATGGCACTATTTCCCGAGGCTATCAGTAAGTTTCCTGTGCACTGGCAGCAAGCAATCAATGTAGGCTGCACGCTCAGAGGTAACTCTATCATTTCTAAGCTGTTCAAGGGTCGATTTAAACTCGGCGTGACCCGACCGGCAATCCTGGCTCGCATTGGCTGACTCTGATCCTTCGCTATAGCCCAATTTACATAAATCCTTACAAAATTAGAAGTAGCTCTATTTGCATGATTATTGCTCGCAGTATCTCTGAGATATTTTGATTCCAGCGTCACGACATAATCTCCCTTAGT